GTGTTGTATCTTGACACAGGGGGGTGGCAGTTAGCTTTAGGCAACAAAACTACTTGAAAAAGATCTTGGTTAAGATTAGTCACAAGAGTCAACTCATGTAACTACAAGGGGTGTCATGATCCCAGGTATTGTTGTACTTTATTTTCTTGTTTTATTCTGAAAGTCTCTCCACGTGTCATGTCATGTCTTGTCTTACTTCCTACCTTTGTCTGTTTCCTGCCTTGTTTCATACACTCCTGCCTTGTATCAGTCTTGCTAGTCCTTCCTTGCTCCAGAGTTTTCCCTGCACACCTGTTCTGTATTAGTCATGTTTGCTCCACCCTGGTGCTCCCTACCACACCCTCATTGTCAGCCAACCTCTCTGTTTGTCGTGCCATCTTGGTTTGTTCTCTGTTTAATTTTGGTGCTTCTTTTTTAATACTTTGAGTTACATCTAGGGATGTCCCGATCACATTTTTTTTGCATATGATCCAATACCGAGTCCTTTATTTTGAAACCGAGTCCGATACCGAGTCCGATCCGATGCTTTGCAAAGCATTAAAAAAAAAAAAAAAAAAAAAAAAAAAAAAGAATGCATCCAAGCTGTCCCATAAGGTTTGTTTTTTATTTAAATAGTATCCAAAAAGCTTATCGGTATATCTTTTGTAGCGCAAACCCCACAAAGAAACCATAAAACCCATAAAACAGGTTCCTTAACACCAAAATTAAACTGTTTTTACCTGGTTTCTGTAGAACAAAAGAATTATACTCAATTTTCAAAAATATAAATACAACTAATCAGTTTCAAGAAAGTTTTTTTTTTTTTACCAAAGAAAATAAATGTTCTGTTCCGTTCAGTCAGTTCAATCCATTTCAAACAAAAAACTCCACTCTGGGATTTCCAAATAACATATTACAGTTCAAGCCACACAGTTTGCTAAACAAAAGAAAACTCCACCCCAGGTTTTTTCATAAAAAAGGAAGTAAAGAAAATCCACTGTTTGCTCTGACTCACTTCAGTTTCTATGGAGATAGATTTGTTTCATAATTATGTGTGTGAACAGATCAACAATCTGTGTGTAAATGTGTAATCTGTAAATATAATACACCTTCCACAAATACAAAAAAAGATTTGCAAACTCACAAAAATATTTTGTAGGCTAAGTATAAAACGGATCTGCAAATACACAAACAAATTCCACAAATAAAAAAAATATCTGTGAATACATCAAATTAATTTGCAAATAAATGAAAAGCATTTGTGAATATCTTCCTAACATTTACAACTTTCGAACAGGCATTTGTGAACGAAAATGCACTCGTATCACTCTGCCATTTTCGGATAGCATGTGATCACCCAGCTGATGACGTCATTTTCGCATGTCAAAGTAAGAGCATGCAGTCTTTCTATGAGCTTTTTCTAAAATGTATTTTTTTATTTTTAAATAATCAGCGATAAGTAACGTGAATTCATTGTTTTATGTTAATGTCATACTGTGAGTATTAGTGTGTGTTTATTTGTTCTATGTATATTATCTGGCACACACTTTTGGATACATTTCTGTTTGAGTATGAAAGGCACGACGATGCTAGTGGCCATCGTTCAGTTCTCTAAGGTGGCTTGGCTGCTTCTTCAGTTGGCAGTTATCAGCCAATTCATCCTTTATAGTTTTCATTTATTCTTTCGAGTAGGATTAAAGTCACAAAGCACTTCAGGTCTTATTATTAGTGTATTCTTACTAATATATCAACAATGAACAATAAAACTACAATACGACATTTCTAAACAAAAAGACCAACACCAACAGCTGTTCTATCAAAGACCTTAACCAGGGTGTTGCCACTTGTCATATCTTACAACAGTTAACGTAACCTCACTGAAATGATGTAACCAGTGCTTAATTTGTAAAATTAGAAGTAGGGGAACATTTTGGGCCTCTGAGAGAGCAGTGTTGCCCCACTCCCAAAAGTGCCTTTTGTCATTTATTAAAAAATAAATCACTTTTCTATAATACATCAATGATATTTCAATGGAATAGATTACTTATTGACTTATTCATACTTCAAAAACAGCATCAATAAGTGATTAACATAGGAGAGATCAAAATAAAATAAAAAAATAAAATCAAAAATCAACCAGCCACCCTCCTCCCCTGACAAGTAAAGAACGGTCCCTTCATAAGTAAAGAACAGTCCCTAAAGTGCGGTGAGGTTTGTGGACCATTACCTGCCACAGAGAGAAATGTGAACGGCTCGTTTCTCCTCTGACACGCCACATACCTGTGTGCTGCCATGGCTCAGTTGTCCAGGTACTACTGGGTAGTCATGACACCAAGAAGAGGAAATTATTGGACCTGGAGTCGGACTCGCCGGTAAGCCGTTATGTTGTGGCGCGGAGCACTATGAGCCTCCGCCGTATTTGACCGCCGTATCCTGTCTGTGACCCCCATTCAACCCAAAACCGGCAGGATTTGATTTCCTTTCTGCTGCTGGTTGAAATCTGTACTCACACAGTGAGCTGAATGATTTAATTTGCATGCACAAAAATATTTTTAGTTGCAAATGCGAGTAAAATGCTCACACGTAGAGCTCTGTGGAAAACAAATCACTGCCGACAAGTAAAAATAAATAAATAATAACTTTCACTGCTCAAAGATACTCACATGCCTGGAAAACAAACCACTACAGCAGCATATTGAGTGCCAGCTGGCCGGTGCCGTTATTTGTTTGTGTATTTGCAGATTCGTTTTATACTTAACCTACAAAATATTTTTGTGAGTTTACAAATCTTTTTTGTATTTGTGGAAGGTGTTTTATATTTACAGATTACACATTTACACACCGATTGTTGATCTGTTCACACACATAATTATGAAACAAATCTATCTCCATAAGTTTCAAAATAATAAATCAACCTAGCCCGAAGGTTCCAAATAAGGAATAATGAAACGAAAAGTAACCCCTGGCTTTTGGCAACTCACGGGACCACGGGTGAATGTCGTAACACTCTGGCATTGTTTCGGGCGTGGAGGCTCCATAGGATCCCTTGATATCCGTGGCGGGGAATCTGAGGTGAGGCCAGTGGCTGGGTGGATGATATTCCACAGGGAAGCGCACCTATTTCACGGACTTTGAGCAGTGTAAAATGCCGTGGTAGGCCGAATACGCAGAGGACTTCTGGCTCATTTCTCTCTTGCCGGTGTCTCTTGCCATACTGCCAGGAGCGGCATAATGTAGCTGGGCCGGTCTGCCTGGGCTCAGCTGATCGAGCTATCCCACTGGCCGATAGCACCAATGGGTGTGTCTGGAGGTGAGCAAGCCATCAGGTGATAACCACTGTCTTATAAAAAAAATATCTATTTATAAAATATACACAATCGCCACATTTTATAGCCTACATTGGAAAGCGTAGGCAACAGTGAACAACATGGATGAAAAACCTGGCCATTTTTGTTGTTCTGATTCCTCCGATCTTTTATTACCTATTCCGTTTTTGCAAAAACAACGTGATCTGCGCCGATCCCTAGTTACATCTGTCCACACCTTCAGTTATGTTGCCTGCCTGTTTTGGGGGTGTTTTACCAGCTGCATTAAAAGCTTGCTTTTTGTTCCCCTATCCTGCCTGCTTGGTATTTTTGCAGTGGTGTCCTCCCCTGAACTTTTGTGAAACAATATAAAAGAGTTGGCTGTTAGGTTTAGTCACTAATGACTGAATAAATATTGAAAAATGACTCACGTGATAAATTACTGTTGTCACAAAATGATGACAAAATAACTCACTGACTTTAAGTTTCACATTACACATGAACACCATTTCTAAGGTCAAAGTCCTGTTCTTGTTGGACCCATCCACCTCCACTCCCACCCACCGAAGGCCTATTTTCTCACTTCTTATGCTCCCTTTGTAGCTCTGAGCATCTAATTATGACACAGGTGTTGTATTTGTATTGGAGTTTGTTAAAAGCCCAGTGTATCTCATAAAGATGCTATGGATGCATTGTGCTAGCTGAGGGCCACTGTTAACGTCCCCGCCTGAGGTCTAGGGGAGTAACATCATGAAATAGAGGGATCTTTCAAAAGAAGAAAAAGGTAAAAGGAAGTTTATTTACAAAGAAAATGTGAAGAAAGGACCACCAACGAAAAACGGGCTCCAAAAGGGAACTGGGTTGGCTGTAGCAGGGAAACACACAGAACAGAACAGATTAATCACAGCCAACTAAATATTACAGCACCAAGCCAAAACTCTCAATCGTTACCCACGTCTGAATGACACTACTCTGTCACAGCCTCTTGGCCCACTGGCAGCAGCACTACTCCTACTCCATTCATATCCTCACTGGTGAGGACTGATGGAGATCAGCTGTATGCTGTAAAAAGAAAGGGGAAAAAAACACAAAACTCAGGGCGGGCCCAAAACGCACAGCCACTGACCAAGCAATGGTTTTTTTGATGCCCTGGGAATGTGAACAGGCTGGCTGATGTTTGGTTACAGTCTTGCCCAGGTTTCATGCCATGTGTTTCATATATATGACATATATACATATGTGTCACTGCTGTAAGAGTCAGGCCATATACATTTAATCTGAGCTATGTCACTGTAGAAATGTTGATTTGCTACGTATGCAACGTACAAATGTTACATATTCATGGTTTGCAGAAAAATACAATGCCAACATTAGTTATGTCAACCTTCAATTTAACTAAGTACAGATATATCTGGATACAAGAAAAGAGAAGAATGTTAATAAAAGGTACAGAAGTTGAAGTAAATATTCTACCAGACATTTATCAGATTTGGAGTTCCATAATCAAAGATTATATTAGAGCTATGGTTCTCCCCAGAGCACGTGTCCCTGGTGTTATTTCTACATCACTGAATAATACAAAAAAAAATCCTGTCAGATCATCCAACACCAAGGAAGTCTGTTTGAGATGTGTCTCAAATGTCTTTAAATCTTTATTATCACTTTAATTTGGAGGGAGGTGTAATGCAGCCCTACATAGTCATGTTCCTCTTCCAGGTTTTCTGTGATTATCACGGCCACTCCAGAAAGAAAAATGTCTTCCTGTATGGCTGCAGTGTTAAGGAGACTCTGTGGCAATCTGGCTCTGCTATTAACACTGTAGGATTGAAAGAGGACCCTGGATATAGGGTAAGACGCACACACACACACACACACACACAAATACCGTGGCCATAGAGGATTTATGTTATTCATGTCCCAGTGGTGGACTGCAGCTGAAACTGTAAAACCAGAGCAAACACTGACAAAGGTATGTGATCTCTCCCTCTCTCTCTCTCTCTCTCTCTCTCTCCAGACCATTCCAAAGACCTTGGATCGTATCGCACCGGCCTTTTCTTTCAACAGCTGCAACTATTTGGTAATAACCATAACAATAAGACCAATAAGCTGTTTTTCATCAGTGTTTATATCACTGATTGTATTAATCTTTTTTTTACCTGTATTCGTATTTTGTTTGAAGTCCCAAAACAAATAATTATTACTTAAGCTAAATCATATCAGAGCTGCTACTGTTTTCAGCTCCAGATTAATTTGTGATTTGGGCAGGTAGAGAAGTCTCGCTCTGCTACAGCCAGGGTGGTTGTCTGGAGGGAGATGGGCGTGCTGAGAAGTTATACCATGGAAAGTACTTACAATGGCTGCAACCAGGGAATATACAAGGTATGTGCATGTGTATGTGTGACAGTGTAGAATAGGCCCCAAAAACTAAACTGTCAATACACGTAGGCCTAATAGCACTGCAGCTGTGTGTCAAAACATAAACTCCACACAGCTGGGTAAATAGGAATATTCTGTATAGACTGACCTTATCTGGATATCATATGAGAGAAAATATAAAAAAATCCATCTGAAACACATTACATATGTACAAAACAATAAGTAACTTTTAAGTCACTCTATTGTTAGGAACAACAATATTAGGCCTCACCAAGGGGCACCATTAATGTTGGGAACAATTGTAGGCCTCAAAGGGGGGACATTATAATGTTGTAATTTATACTGGTGATACTGTAAAAGAGGGGATACTACTTGTTGTGATCTAGGCACCAGTGCTTTGTTTTACACGGCGGCACCATTTATTGGGATTTAAGCCTTAACACGGGCCTGACCTTGTAATAGATCTCCAATTAAAGTGTCAAATTGGCTATCGGAAATAATTAATCATTATAAATAATTATTGATTATGTTAAATGATATGACTTAATTTATATTAAGTCACCTCGTGGGGCACCATTTGGTCCAGCTGCAGAAAATGTTCACATTATTTGAGTGAAAAAATATATGCATTTTAACATCAGTTTGGACCACTCTAGCTAGTAGCTACTTTATCGTAGGCTGTACATAATCCTATACAGTGAGGTGATTTTCTATGGCAGGCTACTTTGTACTAGTAGGTTTAGTACAACAACAATGGTCTTTTGAGAGAGAGAGAGGAGGAGGGAGAGAGATTTTCTATTGAAGGACTCTAGACACCCATTTTCACGGAGACATATTGAGGTGAGAGGTAAAGAGACCCCTTTAACCAGTTTTAGCAAAATTCATACCAAAATGACACCTACAAACACAAGTACACTACCCAAGCTGTACACTACACACAAAGTCATCATCTATGATAAAAAAAACAACATACATACTCATTGTCACATGGCTTAGGTTTTTAATAAATGAATCTAATGTATTCTGGAGAAAATGTTTCAAGTCAAGGAGGTTGATTAGACCTTATTGATTACATTACATTATAATGCTTGAAGATAATTTGGAATGAAGGGTTTGAATTATTGCATATGATTATTATCAAATTCTAGGCTAGCAAAAATAATGCAACAATAACAACTAAATATCAGATGACAAAAATGTGAGGTCATGTACTCTTCAAATAAGTGAATAAAGCACTGCATAATGTAACAACATTATTTGATGTGGTTTAAGGCTTCAAGCCACTGAATAGTGTTCAGATATATAGAGGGATGCTATTATTGCCCAGTGCATTATATATCAAATACCCACCTCAATCAAATCTAGTGTACAACACAAATACAGGTGCATCACCATAATTTAGAATATCATATCAGTTCAATATTTTTTGTCATACATNACAGCTAAAGCTTCTAACATTAACGTTACTTAGCAAGAACTTAACTTTTTCTTCAACTTTAACTTACAGACCTTGGTGACCTCATAGCTGGCTCTTGTGCAACATTAAACAGACAGCAGGTATGATTCCAAAAAAACATATTTATTCATAAAGTAAGCGAAGCAAAACCCAAACAAACAAATTCTAACTAAAAAGTGTGTGTGTGTGTGTGTGTGTGTGTGTGTGAGTGTGTGTGAGAGAGAGAGAGAGAGAGAGAGAGAGTGAGATTTGATTTTGATTTTACAAAAGCACTTTATTTATATTAAATAATAAACATATTTACATTATGCACATCAGTGCTAAGCAAAAGACATACACTCCTTTATAAAAATCACATAATAAAAGCTTGTGCAAATTGCAGTTCCTCATAATTAACAGTGCAGATAATGCCCCCGTAACAACAGCACTGTTTGAATGTTTCTAGGTCACCCATCATCTTGTAAAAGTTAAACTCTAGCCACAATCTGGACCTGATGTTAAAGAGACACACTGAAATGGCCTCCTGACTAGTGTTGCTTTCGTCAACAAAAAGTATGACTAAATATTGTCGTCAACGAACCTTTATCACGTGACGAAAACGAGACGAGACGCAACGTAAATGGTGGTCATGTGACGATAACTATAATTAAATATATAATGCAATATTGTTGACGAATAAAAACAAGACTAAATGTGGTTTACAAAATAAAACCTCTGCTAAAATGTCTCTTCATTTTCGTTGACCAAAACGAGACGAAATAACATTATAATGTTTAGTCGCGTTATTATCATTATTATTTTGCAGTATTTCTCTTTCCTAGGCTGTGCGTCGCACTGCGCAGACAGATTACAGCTGTGACGATATACAGTACAACGTCACTTGCTCTCATGTGAAATTGCTTTTATACAACAGTTCAACAACAGCTTAAACAGCAATGCTGAGTAAGGAAATGTTAACAAAAGGTGATGAAATAAATTAAGTATATTATGTAGCTCCGCGAAAAAAACAGCTCCCCCAGTCTGTTGCCAGGCAACGCAGCACACACACCAGGAACTCACAAGCTACTTTGTATTTACATTGATCTGCATCTGTGTAACTTTGTCCAGTTCGGCTGATTAAACGTTGGCAAACCTGGTTGTTGGCACGGCCGGATTCAGCTTCCACTCTCCCTCATCCTCATCAGTACTTCATCAGATGATCATTGATAATTCCTGACCTTTATTGCTTAATTTTTGCTCCTCTCCAGTTTGTCGAGGTCAGCTGATGTTACACAAACACACCTGGAGGTCTACACAGAAGAGTCCTGGCTTTCCTTTTCCTCGTCCTCTCCTGACGACCACTCATAATTTAATTCAAATGTAATTTTGGGGAAAATATCCATCTTCTTGGTGTAACACTAGTGTCAGTTTGTGTCAATGTAGCGAGTGTGATAGTTGGTTAATTAACGGCTGTATTTATATTTATTACATGGCTCTATTAAATGCTGTATTCTTATTGGTCATTCGTGGCATTCAGAGGTCTGATATTACTGTGTAATGACCGTTGCTATGTAGCCCAGCGTTGCTAGGGACGCTGCCCTGACAACAGTTACTTTTTATCGGGCTAACGTAGCCATTACCGCTTCAAAATAATAATTTACAAGATACAAAGATGGAGTATTTGCACGATATAACTTTTAACATATTTGGTGAGCATGAAAATCTTGATTCATGCTCACCAAATATGTTAAAAGTTACAACATATTTGTTGAGTATGAAAATCTTGATTCATGGTTACTGGCTGAAGATGAGAAGAATGCCGGAGAAGAGGGATGCTCAGAGGCAACTGCGCGTCGGGGTTCTATTCCCCTGTCAGAAGTTATTTTCCCAGTATTCACCGGCTCATTATACATTATCCCTTACTTATAACACCTGTGAGCAGAGTGATTTTACTGTTACAAGTCCCAGTGATGTTATACTCTGTATCATCACTCACGGAATGCCTCTCGTCCAATCAAATTACTCGGTCGGAACGAACTGTTGTATAAATAAATGTATATTTAGCTCTAACTAGGAGCTAATTTAGAAAAGAAAATTTTGGTTTGCTTATACTATACTAGGTACTTATACTATATTGACTGGGTATAATAGAATTGCATTACTAAAAAGAGACTAAAATACAATTTTCATTGAAAACTAGACTAAAATGTCATCAGTTTTCGTCGACTAAAACGAGACGAAAATAGTCATGGATTATTCTGACTAAAATAAGACTAAAATGACTTTTAGTTGACTGAAACTTGACTAGACAAAAAAAGAGTATGAACGTGACTAAAACTAATAAAAACTAAAATGACAGTTTGACACAAAGACTAGACTAAAACTAAAATTAAAACAGGCCGCCAAAAACAACACTACTCCTGACCTACTCTGTCCTCTACTTTGTTTCTCCTGCTCACATATATAGCCAGTTCATTCTGTTGACTTTTTTGTAACCCACACCAAAGATAAATCTAGTCTCAGAGAACTTTTCACCAAACAGACTAAAAACAAAAGCTAAAAGAGTAAAAAAAAAACTCTGTGAGTCTCCTGCATTCAGTAAAGATATGGAAGACGGGCACTTGGGAACAGTGGGATTAAGAACAGAAATAAAAGCATTTGAGGCAATAGCACCGTGTAAAATCCTCCACTGGAGGTCAGCTGTCCTTTTTTTGAGGGGAGGTTTATATAAAATCCTCCACTGTGGGCTCAATGCACTGTCTCCACTCAGTCTGCTCGTCCACACAGTGAGTGGTCTGTTGCTCAGTCCTGTCCTGTTTATGCTCTTAACACAGTTCATGTACCAGGTTTTTTTTTTGTCTGCTCCGTGCTGGCTCAGTTTTTCAGGACTGCAAACATTCAGCAGGGGGCCGCTCAACTCTCCAAACACAGGGCTCAGGTTAAACCCAGGGAACAAGTCTCTGTGTTCACGTTCAGCAGTTCCTCAGCTGTACTCTACGATGAGGCTCCTCTCCTTCTCAGAGAGCCTCTGCCTCCAGAGTTCCAGGACCCTGTGAGCCACCCGTACAGACCGGACACCCAGCAGAGAGCCCAAAGCCTGGGCGTCAGTCAGCTCCAGCCCCACTGCATCCACCAGCTGCTTCAAGCATAGAATCTTTGTTTGACACAGTGCCGCCATCAGTTCGGGCGTGACGGTGCTGCAGACATTCAGCCTTGCCCCGTGGATCAGCGGCTCCTTCAACAACCAGTGCAGAGAGTTAGACTTTTCATTTCTTTTACAGTTAAAAAGTGCCCAGGATTTAAAAACACCCTGATAAAATGGAGGTAAACCCCTTAACTTTAGAAAATTAGAATCAGTTAAAAACAGAGCAGCATCCAGTCCCAGGTTGTTTACACGTCTGAGAATACAACTAACCACTTCTCTCCACACTAAATCTGATGGACCTGTCAGGAACCTCTGGACAAACTGTAACCTAAAGCTGGCTGTTCTGCTAGCCAGGTGGATGAGGCCCTGCCCCCCCTCCTCTCTGGATAAAAACAACACACCCTGTGGTACCCAGTGTAAACA